AGTTATGCAACATAACTTGAAGAGCAAGGAGAGCAGACCACTATAAGAGCTCGACCGTCTAGGAGAATGGCTAAAGTAGAGTCTCCCATGCCCGCTACACATAATTTTGAACTTGAAGAAAGAACTAGGGTTTTAGAAATGGTGATGGAAAAATCATATCACATTTTATGCTGGACAGCCCACTGACTCCTTTGTTAAGCCAAGGCAAATAATAACCGGGTGCCTCATTTCGTTGCTCTTTAGCATTAAGCAATATTGTAATACTGATGAAGCCTAAGAGGAGGGAATGACCTAATGTAGAGCCCAGCTCATCAAAATCAAATGAGGAGTTGTTGAAAAAGAACATTGAGCTGGAAAAGTAGTTGAAAGAAATCCAAAAATTTGTGGACGAGCTAAAAAATCCTAAGTTGTGGCAGTGAGCCCCAAACTTGGACAATGCCCCACTCAGCTCGTCAATTGCATCAAAACCTTACTAGGAAAGGTTTATAATCCCTCATATGGAGATATATGATGGGTGTAGTGACCCAGATGAGTATTTGCATACCTATTAGGCCATCATGAATATACAAAACGCTTTCAATGTAATGATGTGTAAAGTATTCCTAGCTACTTTGAAATCAACCACTCGGAGATGGTATCATAAGCTCCCAAGACATTCCATTACATCATTTTCCCAGCTCGCAACTTTGTTTACTAGTAAGTTCGCAAGTCAAAGGGAAATAAAACGCATAACCACCGAGATGATGCAAGTTAATCAGAGAGAGAACGAATCCTTAAGGGATTACATGCAACAGTTCAACAAAGCTACTTTGGACATCGACCATGTCCCAAACTTCGTTTGTTTGTCTACCCTGTTGCCACGAGTTAAGACTTGGCCGCTTCCTTGATAACCTACTTAAGAATCCACCAAAGACATTGAATGAAGTCAATGACAAGTCAGCAAGTTTTATCTTGTTAGAAGATTTTCAATTGCCTAAGCGACAAGCAGATGATAAGCTAGGGAAAGACACAAGGCACTAGGAAGGAAGGGAAGAAAAGAAGAAACAAAAGGGTGCCAAGCAAAGAGGAAGATCGGGCAGCTTTCAACCATCGCCAAAGTATGCAAATTATACCACACTAAGCTCATCTAGATCACAAATTTTAGCTCAGATACAACAGTGGGTCAAGAGACCAGCTTTTATGCCCTTTGATCCAACAAGAACGGATAAAAGCAAGCATTGTGATTACCACCATGGCTATGGTCACCATGGAGAAGATTGTCAAAATTTGAAAGACGAGCTGGAATTCTTAGCTCGCAATGGAAGGTTGGAGGGTTATATCTAAAAATCTTTTCCTCAACAACCTAATCAGACAGATTAGGTTTAGGATTATGCTCGACCCCAAACACAAGGTTATCAAGCTAACAGTAGCCAGGGAATGTATCAAGGAAATTCATGTCCCCATGAGGTCAGCAAGAATTTCAGGGGTTACCACGGTGGAAAAAAGGACCAAGGACTGCAAGCCCTAATGAACCAAAAAGACAATAAAGGATTAGGGTACACTGGTATTCCCCCGTTGACGGACACAATCAACATGATATCAGGTAGGATGCATGTAAAAGGCCAAAGTGCCAGAGGTCACAAGGCCTATGCTCGCCAAGTAATGGCATTGAACGAGAATAGGCCTTTGAAGCAACCCGTTGAAGAAGCTGAATGGGAAAATGCACCCATTACATTCAGCTCGTCTAGCTACAAGTGACCAAATGAGGAGGCATACATTATTATGCCACATGCCAACCCATTTGTAGTTGTTGTTTATATCGGCAACCATACTATAAACAAAGTCTTCATTAACACAGGCAGCTCTCCAGATATCCTATATTAGGAGTGCTTTTAGAAAATGCAATTAAACCCAACTTCTTTAAAGAAGTATGAAGGCCCTATACATGGGTTTGACAACCAGCTTGTCTCAGTCAAAGGAGTGGTTACCTTACCGATTTACGTGGGCACTGAACCAAGGTATCGAATGGCTTCAATTAATTTTCTCATGGTAAGGATGGAATCAGCGTTCAATGCCATTATTGGAAAGGGCACGTTGTGTGAGCTGAAGGTGGTTGTTTCTTAGTCACATCTATGCATGAAATTCCGAACACTAGCTAGCATAGGGATACTATGAGGGAATAAAAAAATGGCAATAACTTGTTATCAAGATACTTTCAAGAAAGTTAAGCTCGCCACAGTGCCATGAGCGACAATGTCTCAGCTGCCCCCTGGCCTCTAGTTGAAACTATCGCTTTGAAGCCAAACGAACCAAAATGAACCATAAGAATTGGAACAAAGCTTACAATCGAGGAGAAAGCAGAGCTATTGGCCTTTTTGAGAGCTAACAAAGACGTTTTCACTTGGGCAATAAATGAAATGCTAGGGATTCCGACCAAATTTGCAGTTCACAAACTGAGCACAAGCCCAACCAAGAAACTTGTAGTACAAAAATGTCACTTATTTAGCCTTAAAAAAAAAACTGTGATAGACGAGGAGATACAAAAGCTGATACAAGCTGGCTTTATCAAAAAGGTAGAGTATTCCAAGTGGGTGTCAAATCCTATACTTGTCAAAAAGTCCAATGAAAAGTGGAAAATGTGTATAGACTTCACAAACTTGAATGATGTATGCCCAAAGGACCCTCATCCACTCCCAAATGTCAAAAAGTTGGTGGAGCGAGCAGCTAGTCATGAGCAAATGAGCTTTCCAGATGCAAGTTTAGGGTACCATCAAGCAATGTTTTAAAAATCGGACCGGATTGGTCGTTGAATCGGTCGGACCGGTACCCGGTACAATAAACGGCTCGGGTTAAGGTTTAGAACCGGTATAGTGATTGAACCATTCAAAACCGATAAAACCATTCGAACCGATACAAACCGTTAAACCATTCAACCGAACGGTTTAAATCATTTGGAAAATTTCCCATAAAGTTGTCACGTGCAGGCTTCGAACACAAGACTTATAGGGCATTTTCGATCAGCTTTGCCACTGGGACACAACCTCTTCGATTGAGAGGAGCGGCTTAAAATTTTATTTATTTCATGTTTAGAAAGAAAAGAATCACAACAGACTCAAATTTTCTTCTCTTCTATAATTAACTTTCACATTAAAATTAATAT